TGCACAAACTATGATTAACCGACCAAAACCAAAAATTTGGTTCGGTTTTCAATTTATAATTTCTTAATATTTCGGTTTTCGGTTCGGTTTGATATAACCTCTCGGTTAACGGAACTGAACCGAAAACCGATAGTGTACATATAAATTACAAATGCCCAATATAATGATACACAACACTCATATGCCCAAAGCCTCCTTGGCCCGAACACAAAAAGATAGGCCCAAACCGAATTGGAACTTGGAACACCTCATGAATCTGTCGCTGATCTTCCATAGACCAGTAACCCATTATCTATATTTCCAAATCCCAATCTTCCAACCTATTATCTATACTTCCAAATCCCAATCTTCCAACCCATTATCTATACGTCGTGCACCTACAAAGAACTCCCACACCGGAGGGGTTTTCAGGTGAAGAGCCTCGGAAGCTTAAGTCAGTGTATGTTCAATCAATTCTCAAGAGTTAAGCAATAAAATGATCGTGTTGAAAAAGAAAGGCTCACCCCCCTTATATAGGGGTGAGATACCTGACATAGGGCTGCCCGGATTTGGCGCGTGTGTCAGAGGTAGCCATCGCCACTATCGCCTGCACCAATCCCCTTTGGACGCGTGTCCTCCTGCACATGGGGTAGGTTGTCAGAAGTGGTTATCGCTATCAACCACTGCCTTTTCGACACGTGTCCTCCTGCACATGGGGTAAATATTCTCCTGGAATTCAGTTAGAGGCTCTTTCACGCGCCTGTGCCTAGGCCGATCAGCGTAGTGTTAAATCCTCGAAGTGGTCGACCTATCGAGGCCGACAGAACTGCTCGATCGTTCACCTGGTCGAAGGATCGGTTGGTCGACAACCTTGTTGGTCGACTGGTTAACTGCTCGATTTCTTTAGTTTCCTCATAATACGACCTCCTCGATCGGTCAATAGATCGGTTTAGCCTCGTGGGTATAATATCTTATATCACCGACCGAAACCGAAAATTTGGTTCGATTTTCAATTTATAATTTCTTAATATTTCGGTTTTCGGTTTGGTTTGGATATAACCTCTCGGTTAACGGAACCGAACCGAAAACCGATAGTGTACATATAAATTACAAGTGCCCAATATAATGATACACAACACTCATAGGCCCAAAGCCTCCGACCCAAACACAAAAAGATAGGCCCAAACCGAAAAGTTGGAACTTGGAACACCTCATGAATCTGTCACTGATCTTCCATAGACCAGTAACCCATTATCTATACTTCCAAATCCCAATCTTCCAACCCATTATCTATACTTCCAAATCCCAATCTTCTACAGTGAACGACAATTTCCATTTGCCTGCAAATCTGGTAGACTTTTACAATTAAGATTTCCTACCTCAAATTGGTCCAATGATTGAGCATTTACTCTGTACAAACACTACAAATACTAGTTATGACACAAAAATTATCAACCTGAATTTTCTTGAATTTAATTTGTACTGTATAGTGTAGAAACTACCAGAATTCTGATTATTTGTGTACTCCCCCATGCACCTCGTGTTCGTGATTTTCTTCTATATAAGACTTTGAATTTCTTCTTTTAACTCGTGATTCATCGTACGACGCCTACGGGCTGCACTGCACCTACCCAATTCAAGCTCTTTTTTTTTTTTTTTTTTTTTTTTTTTTTTTTTTTTTTTTCCCTATGCATTTTAGCTTGTTTTGGCAACTCACGAAATGTACATTTTTTTTAATTTCTCTATTTTATTGGATAACCATAACCGAACCGATTAAACCGCTGGATTTTTGGTTTGAAACCGAACCAAACCGTAGTTTTCGGTTCGGTTTTCGGATTCAATATTGGACTAACCGAATTTTCGTTAACCGAAATTTCGGTCTGTTAGGTTTGGTTTCGACCGAATGTGCAGCCCTAGTTAGATGGATGAACTCTCAACTTCCAATTCTTCAGGATACCCAAACGAAACTTCAGTTCAAGTGAGAGGATAAAAGAATCATGGGGAAAAATGAAGGGAAAACACAAGTGGTAAAGAATTTTTGTTTAAACAAAAGAAATGCACATCTTTCTTTCTGATAACAATAATAAAGCAAATAGAGGCAATTCAGCAAAATCAATTCCAATCCAAAAGTATGAGATAAACAACCATATGAGAAAAACAACTTCCGAGGGGAAGAAACGAAAACAAACGTTTTCTACACAGCAGGCAGGATGACAGCTAGGCACGAAGCCTAGCTGCGATATCCTTTTGATTTCATGGTTTAGGCTTAATTAAAAAAGGCAACGGATCCAGACCTCCGGTTATCTAAAGTCTAAACCGGTATCCACTGTTTTCGAGTCGGATCGTTTTCATGGAGCTCTTTTTTTATTATTTCATTTTGCCATATTTGTATCTGTATCTATATAATGGACTAATCTTTATTGCCATAATTGGCATGATCTTGGGCGGGAAATTTTTTCGTCTGTATTTGGCATTTAATTAACATTTATATATTAGCAAATCTTATGCATGAAAAAAATAATTATTTTTTATACATTCTATGACTGATATTCATTAACTACAAATGGGCTTAAATTAAAATGTTGACTGTAGATTTATTAGTAATGTTTTAAATAAGATCTTATATTAATTTAATAGTAATTTATTGACTCAATTCAAAAAATTATTATGAAAATTGACCTGATTAAATATATTATCATTTATAGTTGTAGGTATTAATTTAATTAATTATATCCACTATTAAAAATACTTAAAATGCTTAATAAAATAACAGAATAACTATGTTTAAATCATAATAACTTAATAAATAATTTAAAATATTAATAAAAGTTTTTAAAATGTAGTCAGTTTAACTATAAAAAGGTACATCCCCATTGAATATATCATATGCACTGATAATAATATTGAAAATTTAAATAATATACTAATAAAAACAAAATTGGTCGGGTGCAATTCAGAAATATAAATTTCTCCTTAGATGTATCGATGTACATTAAAAAATTATTCAATTGTTAAATATATATTTATTTTCTTGTATACTATTTTATAAATGAAAAATAAGTTAATAATAAAGAAATGTATAATAATTAAATTATAACACTTGGTATTAATGAAAATATATAATATATCTAAATATCCGAATAGATAGTATGTAACTAATTATATAGGTTGAAAATGAATTAAAGAAATAAATATAAATAAAAAATAAAAATAAGAATAAGAATAAAATATTTAATAATAAACAAATCGTGTGTTTCATAAGGATTAAAAAATTTAAAATTTATTTATCAAAGTTTTTAACATTTAATGCACTTAATAATTACACAGGAGATAAAAATTATGGGTTAAACGTTGGTCAATTATCAAGCAATGTGCAAATTATGAATTATTAACAAAATTATAATACTATGATAAACGACAGTTTTATAAGTTCATACATGTAACTTATGTGCAAATATCATACGATCTTATACATTTTTAATATTACATAAACTTCTAAATAATAAAATTAATATATTAAATAGTCAAAAACTACAAAAACAATATATAAAAATAGAAATGAACAATAATAGTAAATAAATACATGTCATATTGTTACTGAATAGAATATTGTGGAGAATATAATTTCATACAGTTTTAAATAATTTTATAATATTTAAATATATAATATTATTTGTATTGCACCCCGTGCATCGCCGGGTATCAACACTAGTCATTAACAGCGGGTTGGTTACACTTACATCCGAAATGGAAACCGAGTGTTTCGTGGTTCAAAAATGCCGAATCTCGTCTGAATCATCATTTGTCAGGACTTACTTATAGTTGTTAGGCAAGTTGACCGATCATACTCTATAAACAAAACTTAAATTTATTTTATCATATAATATACTAATACAATTTTTGGGTATTATACGGGTGTTGAATTAAAAAGTATATGTAAAAAGCATATGTAAAAGATATCAAACTTTTTTTTTAAATATATATTGAAACTAAAATAATGTAATTTTATGTGAAACATTACTTTGGATTTCAATTAAATTGTCAAACTATATTTTTTTAAACACCCGTGTATTAAATTAGAATGTTAATCCATGTTGAATATTTTTACTTATATCATATAAAAATATCAATGCTATTCACTATTACATGAGTAAAATAAAGAGAAATAATATGGAGATATGAATATTCATAAACGTATAATATGTTTGTCGAATATTAAATAAAATATAATAATTTTTTACTTAATTAGATGCCTAATAGATCAAATGTCATATTAGTCGTGTTTCGCAGTCTTTTGTCTTTATATGTAATTTTTTAATCCGGATAAATAATTATTTATTATTGTTAGATTAACAACAGATCAATTAGATTTTAAATAAATTCTATTTTTAAAAGAATAATAGTCATATTATTCATATGATATGAGTAAAATATGAACATTTGACAGAAAGATTGAATAAACATTTATAATAATTAATTTATTTATGAATTAAATAAGAAAATAAAAGTAATGTATGGTAATTTAGAAAAAGAAAACGTAAAATAGCTTATGGTAAATAATTGTATAAGTGTTGGGACATGTGAGAATCTCGAAATTACGCAAGTCACGGACTATCTACAAATTAAACCGCGGAACTAGATGCTAGGTTAAATGCGTTAAATTTTGTCGACTCTGGCGTTTCTGATATCCGTTGTTGGAAATCTGTCATATTTGTTGGGCAGCCGGACTTGTCCTGCTAATCACCGGATCATTTACCGACTGTCCTGGACTCACCGTGAACTCACCGGACCCCTACTGGACAACCTGGACTCGGTCTGGGCCGTCTAGGTTCGCTGTCCAGGCGCTGGGCCCCGTCAGGTGGAGGCTGGGCTCGCTGGGACGTCATTGGGCCACGCTGGAGGGCAGTCCGCGCCGATGGGGCCGCGCAAGCAGTGCTATGGGAACGCAAATGGGCCATCACCACGCTGTTGTACTTGTTTCGATCATCTTCAGTCATTGAATTTGGCTTCTGTTGTTAAGAATGTGGCTTTCAGCAACGCCGGGCTGTGATTGTGACTCAACAATGGATCCGCGTCTGCACAAACTATTTTTGGATCATAAAAAGAAAGACGTTGATGTCTCGGCGCTAACGAGAGAATTAGATTGGACCTCTCTTGCTGATAGGGAAGATGTTGATGATGAGATCTTCCCAAGGTAGTGTGTATTGTTGCATATGATCCCTTGTTCTTGCACATGAATGCTTATTGCTTCTTTTATAGCAATTAATTATTTTATACAGCTGCAGTATGTCTTATTTGTCATAATTTTAATTTGGGCTCTGTAAATTTGTTCTTCTTTAATTTGTAGGAAAAATACTCAGGCTTTTCGGGATGAGCAAGAGTTGGTAAAATCAGTTGCTTGTGGTTTATTTTTCAAGAATCCGATGGAAAAATTGTCTCACAAGATCAATCTCGGAACTCTGGACGTTATTTTGGAAGTTCTAAAGGATGACACATGTGATCCAAAGGTAGTACAAGTTTCTAGCTTTCCAACATCTTCTGCTTCTAGTCCTATTTGTTATTCTCATGGAAAAGCTGTTTCTTTTGGGGCATATGCTACTGCTATCATTCACGTTTACTTATGCCAGCGTTTTCTGAGGAAAAATAAAAATAAAAATTTATGGAGCCGTGGAACATATGTGCAACACAGAAATAGTATGCAATTGTGATATGGTTTGATTTATTATTATCTTTCAGTTAAATTTATTATTAGAATGAATGTCGGTTAGCTGCTATGTTCATAAAAGGGCCGGGTCTGCAAAAGGTTGATTGAGAAAGGGTGTAAGGTTGTTCATTGTCATATTTGTTGTTTTAAGGCAATTATTTCTCTTTCCATATGACAAAGAGTTTAGATTTTTTTGCTTTTGGTCTATTGTAAATCTATATTCTTAACAACAAGCATGCTGCAAGATGCCCCTGAGCTTTGCATTCATTCCTCTATTTCAGGTTTGGAGTCTGATGAAGTATGCGATTGATTGGTATAACTTCAATTTGGACGAAGTGTTGCATGCAATGGAGCCATTTCTCACACTTCCCCATTTGGACCGTGAAGATATGTGGTATGTTGAAGTTGTTCCTTGATTATGCCTCTCAATTTACATGCAGGGAGTAGAGTTTGCTTGAAGGTTTTTTTTATCTTGTCGAACGTTCCCCTGAACGGCTGATCTCATTGCTATTGCATAGTGAAAATGTTTTCAATTTTAACTTAGAATGCAGTTGTTCTCAACTCCGTTAATGCAGCTGGAATAAATGTGTATTCAGATTATAGTTTTGAAATAAAAAAAACTATGATGTGTTTTTAGCTGATCTGACATT